CTTAAGATTTGAAATTTCCCACAATGCAAATAATGCACTAATCCCTGATTTAGGTTCTGTCTTATTTCTCCAAGGTCAGGGTTTTGATGCTACAAATGGGGAAATACACTTTTTGGCTTATACACAAAAATATTAAATATCCATTCACTTTTAGAAAGAAATTCAGATTTTCCCCTAATCCCATTTAAAACTAACAAACTTTTATTTTGTTTTACTGGTCTCTAAAAGTAACCAAACTGGATCTTTAGTTGCAAATTGTGAGGGGTTGCAATCCTCCTGTCTCAGCCTTCCAGAATGCTAAGATTACAGGTGAGTACCACCACAGCATGAATATATTTTGCTCATTTGTTCTTATGTCTCTGAAGTTGAAGAAGAAAGGATGTCAAGACTTTCTCTTAATGTTCCTGGTTATTTCTCTGTTGTGTTACAATTAAGCAGGTGTAATAACAGTGCTGTCTGACATCAGTTTTAAATGTAGATCCACAATTTGCCCTACTGGCGAAAGCCAGGAGCTGGCAAACAGCGACCTCCACATCTTTTTTGTAGAGCTTAGGAGCCACACATCTTACTTTATAAGTGGCTGAGAAAAAAAAATCAAAAAAGAATGCCTCATGATGCATGAAAATTATATGCACTTCCAATTCTAGTGGCTGTAGAGCTTTCCGGGAACAGCCATGCCCATTGATCGATACATTGCTGATGCCTGCTTCTGTGCTGCTGTTCAAGTTGAGTAGGCACTTAGAAGACAATAAAGACAACCACATGGAAATGAGAACAAAATTATAATCAAGAGGCAATGTTTGCGCATTATAATAGCTTTGAAGCATTTCTATGCTGTAGTCTGTGGTGCGATGAGATGCACAGGGTGCTGATCACAGGGATATCCTCAGGATAATTAAACTTCTTCTAAGTTCACATCATGTGCCTTTAGCTGGACTGTATATTCGGGGAGGCAGAGGTTATTCCCTATATGATTTTTACATTCATGGATGCTCAAAAGTTGTACAACTAAGTGGCTGAGTCATTCTTCCAAGGGGATGGAAGCATTCCTAATCTCACTTTGGTACCTTTTTGCCCTGTTCCTTATTTCCGAATGCAAGTCACACAGCTTTCACCTTCTCACTTGCTCACAGATAATCCCCATCTGATTAACAGCCCTTGTACAAAAAATGTTTGGATTTCTGTGACTTAAGTGAATGTACATACTACTTGGAAAAGGGAACATGTTTGGTTCCTAGAAAGTCTTGCCTATCATCCCTTCAGTGGAAGAGCTTCTCAAGCAATAATGTTTTCCAATTTCCCTTAAAACGGTCTTAATTCAGAGTCAACAGCTGTACTTTGAAAGTATAACCAATTTTCCATCTAGACATGAAGTCTGTGTGGCAGGAACGGGCACACAGGAAACAGAGTGGAGAAGGGGTAGGAGACGACGGAATCCTACAAAGAATGGTTAGAAACACGAGTACTCCCAGGAAGAAGCCATTAGCATTTAAGGGTTACTGGACAGAAGACAGTGGTGATTTACTCTATAATAGGTACCTAGATATGTACTGCCTTACCATATAAACTTGAAATTTGAAAAATCTAATTATGTTCCATTTATGCAGTCAGAAAGACTGTAATATAGGAAATCTGGAATAAGAGATGTACTTCATCATGGCCTCAAAAAAATTTTTTAAATCCCAATTTTCTTGAATAAAAGATGGACTTGACCAGAAATGTTTTCATTTTTATTCTTTGAGGTGAATTACAATAAAGTGCATTCAAGAGTCTATGATATCATTTTTATTATGACCTACAGACTACAAGATCTATGTGCTCACACAGAACTGGTTTTAAAAATAAACTAATTGATATCAAATTCATAAAATGATTTAAAGTATAAACACTTGGGACTTTTTCTGGAAAAAAGCTGTGAGAATGCCACCGTGATGACTCTTGGGATGGCTGGACTTCAGAATGGCAGTTCCTTAGCAGACAGGAGTCTCTGGGCCTTGCAGACAGCACCCCCCCAGCTGGATCAGGGATGGGGGGGAGGGGGCGGGCGTGCTCACTCACAGCCTCCAGCACGTCCTTCCCTTCAGGACCACACATGGGATGTGTTGTACCAGGAATATCAGATTGGATCTTTTGTTAACCCAGTCAGGGGTACCAAGCTTGAGAAAACTGTCAGGCTACTGTAACTTTCATTATTTAAGAACAAAAAGCTAAGGTATTTACAGTATCTCCTGAACATTATCAGACTCGACATTCTAGATTTGGTTGAGAACCAATTTGGCATCCTTTAAAGGTGGAGTTCTGTGTTTGTTTTTGTTTTAGATCACTAAGACTGAAGCTTTTGCGGGGGAGTGTCTCAGATGCAGTTAAGTACTATTGAACCCTCATTTTTCATTGTTGAAGATACAATTCCAGTTAAAAGACAGACTATAAACAGAAGATTAGATCCATCAAGTAACGCTTATCATAACTTGGCACATACTTCTCATATAACATACTGGTCCAATGTCCAAAGAATTTATTTATCCATTGTAAGGACATATAACACAAAAGTATGGCCATAAGGACCCTGAAAGTCAAGCCTATGGTAGATGCAGGACAGTATGAACTTGTGTAAGGGTCGGGAGAGACAGAAAGGATCATTAGTTTTTCAGACATCATCCCTCTAATTTTTCCTGCCACCTGCATATCCAATTAGTAACAGCGGGGCTAATGCGCTAGCAACTAACCTACTTTCTGAAAATAAATGACTTAACCGTGGGAGGTAAGCTAATTCTTTCAGGAGAAAAGGTTACATTAAGCCAGCCACCTTCTGCACAGCTTAAATGTCTATTTTTCCATTTAACCAAATTGCTGTCTAATGCTATTAGTCACCTTAACATACGACTTCATTTGTGTTTGAAACACAGCTAAGGCACACTGTAGAATAAGAATTTCAGTAATGTAATACTAACACAATTATATAGACTTGTAAAGTTCTGCATCAAGTTGCCTTTCCTTTTCTACAATCTATCTTTTGCTTTGGCATCCGTCTTCCCTATGCAGCAAGAGATGAGATTCCTATAGTATACATCTCATTTTCATCTGAACATGTAAAGGAAGGCAACAATGTAGTTCACATCTCATTTCAGTATAAAATATAGCAATTATATAGTAAAAACACTACATGAAGTACACACCTTCTCTCTGCTACTATGAGCAGTTAAAGACCTTTGGGCTGCCCCACGAAGCGCTGTCCGATAATTATAGAAATTGCTGGAAGGGTCCATTTGATGCTGTAGAAAGAAGAATATTAGCCATCAATTCTCACCTATAAATGTTTTCAAGATCACATTTAACTACACATGAAGAATTCTAAGTAAGTGTCGAAATTCATTAGGAATATGATTTTCTTACTGACAAGCATGTAAAACATCACAACATAAATGTTTTCTTTCCCAACATTGGGTTCATTTTTAAAAATTGATGTCAGTTTGGATGATGTTAACCTAAACCAAACCTATCTAGGCTAATTATTGAGATCAGACCTAGAACTGCTAACAAAAACTTGAAACAGAAAAGTTTCCTGGTTTCACTTGAAGGCCAGTGGGCCAGGGGGTGGTTATCTGTGTATACTGATGTAACACTTCGCAGTGAATTTGTTCTTTGCATTTTATAACTAAGCATTTGAAAGTAACTGAAGCGAACCATTTTAGAATAAGGCAAATGAATGTATTATGCAAAAAAAGCACCACATAATATGCCTGACAGTCACTCCCAATTTAGAGAACCTGGGAAAGAATGCTGATGACTTCCAAAGTCAAGAGACTGAAAGCACCAGCATGCTGAGGTCACATGGAGAGGAACTTGGTTCTAACACCCACCCCCTTGTGCCACAATTCTGATGACCTTCAAAATTATCTGAGAAACTTTTCACAAGTTAACTAAATTTGCTGATAAGATAGTGAATAAATATTTTGGGTGGATGAGGAATTCTTCTCTAGCACATTACAGATAAGTGGTGAAGCTTGGAGGCTAACTGGAAAGTAAAACTGCCATTCAGAACTTCAGGCCTATTCTGGTATATAATGCTGACATTTGTCCAGCTGATTATCCTAAAATGGTCACTTCTATTTATGGAAGGACCCATCCAACATCTGTTTACTTTCCCATCTCCAGTGTCAGCCCTTTCTTTCCCTTGGGTCTGTAAGGCTTTTTCTTCTGCAGTACTATCTAACTGAGAGGCAAGAACACTGAGAGGAATCCCACTTTCTGCATCTCAAACATTATTCAGAGAGTCCTAAGCATCCCATACCTCCAGGATGTCGAACTTTGCAGTCTTCACCTTGGCCCACGTCTTCTTTAGCCGTGAGACTGGGCTCATATTCATGCCAGCTTTCCATGTAACACGCGTTGTGGGGGGGGGAGAGAAATTTGAAATAGAGATATAAGAAAAGCCATTCTACCTTTTACCTTGGATAGCATGTGTTACCAAATGTAATTGAAAAATAAATAAGAGTAATTGAGTTCTATAACATTAATAAGTAATAAGCTCCAAGTTTACAACTTCTTGTGAATATTTCCTCAGCCCAGAAGCAACATAACTTTGAGCAAGAGTGAGCACTTTTTTTTTGGTAAGAACTGCAAACCTTTTAGGCTTTGTAAGGGATATGGGTCTGTGTCACAACTGCAGAACACTCCCTTAAATGGTGTACAGGCAGTCGCAAGTGACTACCAAAGTAGTGGCTTTGTATAGTTGTGTCCTAATAAAGCTTTATTTAGATTCAAGTTGCTTACCAGTTCTAAGTATTGCAGATATTTTCTCCCATGCTATGGTTGCCTTGACATTCTCTTAATGAGCAAAGAGGGAAATAAAGTAACATTCTACTGCTCAGATTATAGACCTTTCACCTCCTTGACTGAACTGTTCTTTCTACTAACTCTTTGCATGGCTCTCTGGCCAATATTATGATGGGCACAGAGGGCAAATGATATACAAGCACAATAAAGAAAGGAGCTACTGAGGGGAGAACGTATCAGGATCACAATTACTAAATTACATCTGGTAGATTCTCTAGCTTAAAATTGACCCCAACTCTCTGCTTTCTATTCAAATATTTTTGGAGCACCCACAATATATAGGATGATCATATAATTTGTCATAAAAAGCAGTGCACTTATTAATGAGTCACCAATAATTATAGCAAGATGACAGTTATAAACTGGAACAACAAAAGCTTGTTACTGCCTGACCCATTGTACCAGAATGAATGAAAAGAAACGGGGGGCAGGGAGATGACTCAGTGGAATAAGTGCTTCCCTGGCAAGCGCAAGGACCTGAGTTCAATCCCCGGTTCCACCAAAAGAAAAACAAAACAAAAAGAAAAGAAACAGGGTTTCTGGCATTAAAAATCCCCATGAAATAAAAAGAGCAAGTTCCTGTAATTGGAGTAACAAAGTCTGCAGCTCATGTGGGCATTCAGAAATTATTAAATCTTTCAGACAATTTCTTAACTTTGATAATGAAATCATATGATTTACTATCAGATTGTATATTTCTCTGGTAGTTGATATACAAGCTTCTTAAATTTATTTAGGCAAGTATCTCATTTTTAAGCATTTATAGATGAATACTTGGGTGGGGATTAATTAAAAATATTCCATGAATTCTTGCACACTTAAGAAGAAAACGACACATCATGCCACCAGGGCCACTTAAAGCAATAATAGTTACCAAAATAATTCAGAAATAATTCATAAACTATTCTCTTTTCAGATTTCCACAGATCCCATAAAGAAAGGACACAAATGCCAGAAAAGACTCACAGATTATTGCCATCAGGGAATTAAAGTTGCCAATGTTAAAACACTCTCGAGCCACATCAATGAAGTACTCGATCATCCGTGCTCGATGTTTCTTCTTGACAGGCTACACAGGAGAAAAGAGCGGAGGTCGGTTAGCTAAGGTGGACACTCAGCAGATGGAGAGCAAATACGTAGGTAGCACAAAGTGAGGAAAACCACATGGACAGCTAAGAGGCCCGGGACATTCGTTCTCTCACCATGCAGATTTCTGTAGCCACCAAGTAGCTTAGACGATTGAACCATTCCACATAGGCTTCCAGGTTTCGTGTTTTCTTCCGCTCACTGAAGCAACTCTACAGAGAAAGCAAAGTGACCTGATGAGTTAGAAGAAGAAGAAGGACGGGGGCCGGGGAGATGGCTCAGTGGAATAAGCGCTTCCCTGGCAAAATCCCCGGTTCCGCCAAAAATAAAAGTTTGTGGACTGAAATGTCAAAACCTCATCTTAGGGCTGGGGAGATGGCTCAGTGGAATAAGTGCTTCCCTAGCAAGTGCAAGGGCCTGAGTTCAATCCCCGGTTCCACACAAAAAAAAAAGAAGAAGAACGCCTGTGTATATGGGTCTCACTTTGTCAGTATAGCGCTTTCTCGGTTTATGGGTTAGGAAGGCTTTCTTGGGTGAGAGAGAAAGATCACTAGCATTCTTGATTATCATTAAAGAAATGCCAAAATCTCCTCCATCTTCCTAACACTGATCTGCTCTGGACAGGATCCGTACATGCAATCCTAATCCAAAGCAAGGGTTCTGGCTGCATTCTGTAATAATCTTGGACTTATTAATGAGGTGCAAACATTAACTGCTGTCAACACAGCAAGGAACAGCCTATAATTTTTCAAAGTTAAGTTATGTGACAAAATTCTGGAGCATCATGTGCCAAGAATCTAAGCATCCTCCAAAGAAGATAGATAAAGTCTACAACACCATCATGTTTAGTAGGGTGAATGACACATTGTTCAAATGCAAAGGACATTCATCTCCTCATGGAGTTCAAGGTCAGATTTGAAGAGGTTCATTAAGCCCTCTTTCCTTCCTTCTAAGGACAAAACAACAACGTCCACCAGCCAGCTATTGCGCAACATATCCTTCACTTCCTGGACTGAAAGAAACTGTTCTAAGGCCGGAAAACAGCTGCTGCCCCAACTTGCACAGGGGTCTTTCATCAGTGGGTGACACAATCTTTACCTAACAATTTTAAATGTTTTAGAGGCCCTGGAGTAAAAATCCTTATATGTGTACCACTGATTTCATGTCTGTGTTCAGTATGATTTTATGTGTGGGCTTTACCACAAGCCTGTCATGAGGGATTCACCTTAAACTGAGAGGCAAAGCAGGAAAGTGCTTTGCTTGGCAAGCTGGATGTGCGCACTGTCTGTCTTGCCCTGCCTTTGCTGAATCATGAACACAGCATTGTCTTTTATTTTCCTTCTGGCTTAATCTGACAGATAAAACCATTATGCTTTCATCCTTGGCCTTCATCACGACAAATGCCTGCATCTACTTGCTGTAAAGGGCTTATTAAATTTCCTAACAAGGAGGGAGAGGGCAAAAGTTAGTGATAGGATGAGACTGCTCTAAAGGAGACCTTGCTCGAGAAATACTTCAATGTGTCACCCACCGCAATGCAAGAAGTCCTTTCTCATTTTAAACTCTAAAACAATAGTTTCAGTTACAAGGTCTTATACCCATCATCACAGATTGAAGACTTGAGCTTCTAGTTTCAGGACTGTACTCAGAACAGGCCAATTACCTTATCATTGTCCAAAGGATCCTTCTGCACAAATGCCTGAACAAACTCTTCTGGCCCAATGTAATTGAGCCGCTCCTGAAACACAAATCCAGTGAGTTGACAGCACTGAAGAAAATGCAAGGCAGTGGACAGTGTACTTCCTCTACTGACTTTGGGCACCAATCCCATTTCTTAATGCAGGTTATAAAATAAGCTTTTAATCAAAAATAGTTTTATCATCAAGGCCCCAACAGAGCCGATTCTCTGCCTGGGTCAGTGTTCTACAAGATAATGGAAGACCATGCAAGTTACAGAAAAATTAATTTTAGGCAGAACATGAGGAAAACTCTTTTCCAGTCTTATCTGGTATTTATTTACAAGTAAATTCCCAGCATGTTGGAGGCATTCATATTGTAATTCCTAAACAGAACACATTTCAGCTGTTTCAGAGATTATTTATCCACTACTTCTGGCAAATGCACTGGTTGCCAAAACAAACACAACTGTGGCTGCAAAGGGCAAGGATGACAAGGGCCTCACCAGCTCTATGTGAGTCAGCTGCTGGGCCAGCGTGTACGGGTCACTGCAGACAGTGATGATGTCCCTCTGGATGGACTGTGGCTTGGTCTTGAGGACTGTGAGCCGATCTGTGGAGGTGGAGCTGATCTTTGCCAAGACTTCCTCATACTGACTGAGAGCAGCAAGTTTCCGGATGAGACACTGCATCATCTGCTGGACATTCTTCCGGTACGTCTGGTAGGGAACAAGCCAAGCATCACACCCTTGCTCTGTGTGTCTTTCTCAGCTTGATGCAACCTCACAGACAGTGTCTTGAATTTTTTTTTTTTTTTTTTTTTTTTTTTTTTTTTGGTGGAGCCAGGGCTTGAACTCAGGCCCTTGCACTTGCCAGGGAAGCGCTTACTCAACTGAGCCATCTCCGGCCCCTCTTGAAATTATTTTGACCTTGACAGTGGACAGTCAGTTTGATTCAGGGAACTTACATGAGGGTTCAGGGAGCTCTTACAACTCAAAGGCACAGGCATCACATGCCTCTTCAAATCTATAAAGCTCAGTGCCTTTCTCAGGTTGCTACTGAGAGCAAAATTCAGATCAGACCTTCAAATACAACAGCTTTTCAGATTAGCTATTGAGGGTATCCAGTACAATGTTCTCCATGCACAATTAAATGTTTGCTGGTAGAAACATACCTGTCTACTTTTGTTGAGGTGTAATATAGCAATCTCAAGTCAGAGCATCCTTTTCCTAACTTTTTCATCAAGGTCACGTTCTTGCTGTCTTAACTCTCATCACTGCCAATCTCATTTGACTAATGACACAGAAGTTACTTGACAGCAACACACTCTTACTTCCCACCCACCACCACCTACCTTCCTGGCTGTCACAGAAGGGGATTTTCAGGTCTGGAATCTGACCTCTATTTGGCTCCTGTCTATTTCTTCCTTCCTCATGAGTCCCTTGTGTCATGTACAACAAACTGTTCCCCATGGCAGTTCTCCCCACAGGGCAAGACTGCCACCTTGTTCACCACTGGATATGTTATAATCACATACTTAAGAGAAACTGGTGTAGAAACTATTGCATTTCTTATGGATAAGTGTCAACCTCTTTCCAAACACTGTTAAAACAAAGAAATGACTTCCCAATCATTTGGGTACACTTATCCTGTCATGGAGTTCTTTTGGTCTTTCTTAGCTAGCCCCAAACTGCCAACCAATTATCCTTCTAGATAAAACATGATGCCTGTGTTAGAGGAAGACACACAAGCTGATTCAAGTGTAACTGGGTCTCTGGGTTACTAGCTCCAAAGGAGGACAGTCCTGGTGAATCTCCAGATGTGGAAAGGCCTATGTTTACACTTCACTGCCTCTCTGAAAGGTGCTCAATATCATCTGCACTTTACTTACACGCCTTTACCTACAAGTATATTTTGTTTTCTTTTAACAGAAGCAATTTGGTTTAACAGAGCACATTAGCAAACGCTAGAGCTCTAAAGAAATTATATCTGGACATGCTTAATGGTTAATCTGATATAGACAAAATGAAAACCATACAGATTTCTTCTTTTTTCTGTTCTCTAGTTGTCAGTATAGTCTAATGAGCTCTTCAACATGGCCCATTACATGACCTTTATTTTTCTCTATATTCTCAAAACTACCCTAAAATGGTGAAATACTTAAGTGTTCTAAAAAATTGAACCTTCCCAAAAAAGACTTATCTTTCACTCAGTAACTGGATTTTCAGTTTAAAAGATAGTGTCTATGTGGTAGTGTAGGTATTGACCCACGCGAAATAGACTATTTCAAATCCTTCATTCCTCTTCATGCTGCCCCTTTTACGTTCATAACATTGAGCTACATTAAAAATCTAAGAGGGGGCCTGCCCGTTAGCTCAGTACGTTAAGTGGCTGCTTCAACCAAGCATTCACGCTCAGGTTGCTCTGGTTCGATCCGCACAATTCAAGCCAGCCAAACCTGCCATGGAGGCATTCGGAGCAAAAAAAAAAAAAAAAAAAAAAAAAAATCTAAGAATTTCAGACTTTCTTTAGTCCTGCCCCACAATAATAAACACCCAAAGAGTTATTACTAGTTCTTAAAATTATGTAATTATTTCCCAAATGTTTCCCACTAGATAGTAAACATCTTTTTGAGACACTTTAGTTATAGTATGTACCATTCTGAGTAGAAAACATATGTTAGGAAGTTGCAGTATACATGGTCAAATCGTATTTATAAGAGTACACCTCAACTATCATTATACAACGGACTCACCATAGCTTGGCATGGTTAAGAGACTTACATGCTTAGGTATTTCCAGGAAAATCCTGATTTGCATAAAAATGTGCTGACTCGCACTCAACAGAATAGTTTGTAAAAAGAAAAGCTACAGCCCATCCACGTTTTGGGTCACTATGCAACAGGTAAAACAGGACACAGTTATCAGCACCCTAGATGTGTTGATGAGTGTAACAGGCAGGGTGAAGATCACCAGGTACATACACGCACGTACACAATGTTGACACTACTTCTGTGGATATATCAGGCATGGATCTTTATACACAGAGAAGACTAGATATGCACAAAACTGACACCCACAGTTACCTTCAACAGAGAGGACTGGTACTCTATCTATCTATTTGTTTATTTATTTAGTACAGAGTCTCTCTGCACAGCTCAGACTCATAGTGAATCTCCTGTCTCAACCTCCCCAGGGCTGGGATTACAGGCATGAGCCACCACAGCCAGTTCTGGTGGCCAGTTCTGCTTGAGGCCCACATGGCATGAGGTGCTAGGGTTCGAACTTGGGCCCTTGTGCCTGCCAGGCAGGTGCTTAGACTGCCAAATTATCTCCCCCACCCCAGACCCCTCACTTTTAATGAGTAAAAAAATTGCTCAAAATGTCTCCCTGTATTTCTTGATATATTAAAAATTAACAAATTTGAAGTGGGGGGGCTGGTGAGATGGCTCAGTGGTCTAAAGCACCTACTTAGAACAAGCTTAGCAAAGCACAGGGACCGCAGTTCAATTCCCCCAGCACCACAT